CCGAGATGGATCCTGTAGAAATGGTACTAAATGAGAGAATGTCAAAATTTTACAAATAACAGCAGGAAGTTTATGTATTTATTTGAATAATATAGCATGAGATTTCAGTAATGAAAATAAATTTCAACATTCTGTTATGATCTAAAAGTTTGCTTTATTACCAATTTATTTATACCTCTAGTTTCCCTTTGGAGGAATTTATAATCATGTAACATTATTTACAGTTTGAGATGCATGTTTTTATCAACTAACCAGTTTATCTGAACAGTTGCTAATGAGTCAGTCCTTTATGTCCAGTTTGAGAGTCGGCCAGTAGATGCAGAGTTTGTACACTTGATGCATGATCTCCAGTCAACAGAAATCCCTGGCCATGTCTACCGCGGTTACACACTTCTCACACAGGATGATAGAAAGTTGAGAAGTATTCAGGTCAGTAAAGAACCACACCTGCATTTACAAGCTGATATAGATTTGTATTTTATTATTTGTGGAAAGTAATCTGTATTACACAAGGTTTATTTTTTTAACACCAGCTGATCCAGTTTTAATTTACTTTTTAAATTCTTGCATTCATACTGGCATTGGACTAGAACATGATTTCCTGAATTTCACATGGTTTGTAAATGTCTGTTCCAAGTAATATGCTGTTTATTTTTAACTACTTTTAAAGATAATTCTTCCTGTGAAAAGATACAAATAACTACAAGTCATATAAGAATAAATTTGTTCTCTGGCAAATTTTTGGAAATGTGATACAATTTTTCTCTTGCATCATGTAGCATACAGATAAGAGTTTCATTTTCCCACAATATTTTATAATTTTTATCATTCTTTTCAAATTGATTTGGTCAGAAAAATAAATACTTTATATTTTTTCTGCTACTTAAATAATAAGTCTTGAAAAACTGTTGTTTTATATGTGGAAAGGATCTATAGAAGCAAAAATGTTTCCTTTAATCTGTTGATATAATCTTGCATCATTTTTAGTACTACCCAGGAAGCAAGCGGCCAGTCTGGTTTGTGTTCACGGGCATGGGCTCACAGTGGCCAGGTATGGGCAAAGCTCTTCTCAACATCCCCATTTTTGCAGCAGCCATTGAAAGGTGTCAGCAGGCACTGAGACCTCATGGTGTGGATCTATTAAACATCATTACAACTGAAGACCCTAGTATCTTTGATAACATCCTGAATTGCTTTGTAGGCATAGCAGCCTGTCAGGTGAGAACATTAAAAGTTAATTAAAAGATTTTAATGTAATTTGAATTAAGAATCTGTCTCATGAGCTCAATTCACAGGTTCCCAAATGTTGAAGACAGCAATCTTCAGACTCATCGCCATGAAAACCTTAAATCCTACTTCCCAAATGTTAACATCTCATTAGTTCTTGAATTGAAATATTGTAATACATGAACCAGTAATATACGTATACACACACACTCTCTAATGTGTCCCTTTCTGCCCTTCCAGATGCTCATTTGGCCTAATCCATCTAGTCTGTACACTGTTTTTCCTTCTGTAATAAAATTATTCTGTTGTGAATGTCCTGGGATATAACAAAATTATGTTTTTCTGAACCAGCTAACTATAGGAGTAAAATAGTATAGATTAGTATAATTGTTTCCAGTTAATTAACCATAATATTAGCAAACAAAACCAACCATTTCACTTATTTGTGGTTTATTGTTTTTGGAGTTCTACATATCTTAACCAGGGAGTGTATTTTTCATTTGATTTTACACAGAATTTCCCATATAAATGTCATTCTGATAGCACGTATTTGGACATGGCGAAACATGCTGTATAGTTAGACAACAATGTTGATGCAGGTGGGTTTGGTGGATGTTCTGAGGGCAGCTGGAATCGAGGCAGATGGCATTGTGGGGCACTCAGTGGGGGAGTTGGGCTGTAGTTACATGGATGGCTGTTTTACGGCTGAGCAGATGGTCCTGTCAGCATACTTCCGTGGTCGTGCGTCTCTTGAGACAAAACTTATCAAGGGCTTGATGGCTGCAGTTGGTAAGTTTGTTAGATGCAATTTCTTTTGTGTTTGTTGTCATTCAGCCCTTGTTATATTGTCTGTTATCTTAAATTTGTATGTAACATTACCTTGCCATATCAGTTAAGAGACGTGTAGAGCGTTATAGAAGATATGCAACTAGTGTGCTACAAGTATGCAGTCTCAAATAGTGTGAATGCATTTATATTTCATTTATAGTTTATTTAAAGTATTATATCAGCTGCAAGGTAATGTGACAATGAATGAGGTGAAAAATGATAGATAGCATGAACTGATAAAGATTGGATAGAAATTAACTATTGGTATTAAATGCCCATACTGCAGGGTTGCTGGACAGACTTTAGCTCTGGATTTTCACATTTAGTGGCATATCATTTCAGCATATAGCCAGCTGGACTGTGTTTTGCTATTTTTTTTAATCAACTATGATCAAGCTTGACCATCATGACCCCTTATCGAGGTTCTCCTGTGAAAGTACTACAGTGGTTTCACCTTGCCTTCCGTGGCCAGTCTTTACCCACCAGACTGGAAGAGGAGACGCGGACAAACATCCATGCCTTGAGTGGGACTCAAACCCATGGTCGCAGAGGTCAGGCGCACGAGGATCATGCCTCAGACCGTGTGGCTACTGTGGCTGGCTGTGTGTTGCTATACTGCCGGGTTAATAAAGGATAAAGAATAACCCCTGTAAAGTAAGGGTCCTTTGATTCATTCCTTTGCTTATACATACACCTGTTTCTAATCAAAGGATGTGATGTTGCAGGTCTAGGAGCTCAAGAAGCTAAGAAGTTATGTCCACCAGACATAGAGGTTGCTTGCCACAATGGACCAAACTTCTGTACACTGTCAGGACCAACAGATTCCATGAAGAAGTTTGTGAAATCACTGCAGCAACGTGGAGTGTTTGCTAAGGAGGTGAACTGTGCGAACATCGCATATCACAGCAAGTACATAGCCTCTGCAGGTCCAGCACTGCTCAAATACCTCAGGGAGGTATGTGTATGAAATACTTACAAGTCAATGATTTGTTCTTACCATCATCATGTTTACTCTTTCTTGCTGCAGGTCCTCTAGCTGTCAATCCATTTACATTGAACTCCTGATTATCCAGGTCAATGTAAGGGAGAAGATACATGAATAATAAAAGGATGCAATTAATGCAAATTATTTTCTTTTATGCATTCACAAAAGTTTACAAGTCACCTTACTTTTTTCACACAAGTGACATTTATTTTGAGAAATTGTTTGTCATGGTTTCTTGTTTTTGTGAACTGTTTAGACTCCTTTTCACAATAATATGAATTTTCCTGGTATCTGTAATGCCATTGTATTTGAACCCTCTCTGATCCATGTAGTCTAGTAAAATGTCAACACACTGCAGTGCCATGTTTTATGTGTGTTTAGTTCATATATTTGCAATTCACCTCTTATAACTTAATTTTATTTTTGGTTCTTTCATACATAATCTGCACAGTTTCTTAAATCATCCAGCCATCCATATTTCTTGTTCAAGTAATGTTCAGAATGTTAGTACCATAAGTAAACATTGCAACTGCCATTTTATTGTCAGTCTTTCTTCTTTATATTTTGAATTCTTTTTATTTCTCCTCTTATATTTTTCACACTGTTGCTCTGCAATACCCATTCAATATTTTTTTTTGTATTGTGCTAGTTTTATGACATAATTTCAGTTATTTTATATGTAACAGAATTGGAGGTGTCCAGAACCATTTTAGACATTCTGTCGGCTCATTATGTATATTCAGGAATGATGATTTAAATTATTCTTGTGACTTTGCAGGTGATCCCACACCCAAAGCCTCGGTCTGACCGCTGGGTGAGCTCCTCAGTGCCAAAGAGTGCATGGGACACCCCTCTGGCAACACACTCATCAGCCGAGTATCACACTAACAACCTGCTAAGTACAGTTCTGTTTGAGGAAGCTTCTCAGTTTATCCCACCCAATGCCATCACCATAGAGATAGCTCCACATGGTCTGCTGCAGGCCATCCTGCACCGGTCCCTCAGCAAGGCCACCACAAACATTGCCCTTACACAGAGAGGTCACTCTAACTGTAGTGAGCTGCTTCTCACTGCTCTTGGCAGGTGCATATATTGTTAAAATATTGATCAACAACTTGTCATATACATCTATTTTATGTTGAGCATTAGACAAGAGTGCGTGGTACATCAGATCATTTCTTTCAAAAGCCTGTGATTCTTTTAGTACAGGAGTTTTGTGAAACATTTTAGTTGAATTTGGAACTTTCTGTTCTCCTAGTTTGCACAGAAGGAATTGTGTTGATTTAATAAAAGCTCATATCAACAAACCTGAAATCAGCATTGAGTGCACAGGTGTGGTTTGTAAGAGTTTCACTGTTTTTGCTACAGTTCTTATTTCTTTTAGTACTACCATTTCTTACGCAAGGTCCTGAATCTGCTTTTGAAGGAAATGTTCAGTTTGAGTCACAATATCTTTTAACATTTCTTCAGTTAATGCTTTTGGTTTTTTGTCTTTTAGTGTGCCAGATGTTTTTACTTTGTTGACAAGATTCAGAATAGTGTTTTTATAAGGAAATCAAACTCTGAGGAACTTTCTTCTAAATTTTATCTGCAAATTTCACAAAATAGTCATACAAAAACACTTGATTCTGTAGTAAAAGATTATTCAAAAGTCCCTGTGCACCTGTAAGAACATGAATATATTTCTCATGGTGAACTTCCTTGCATAGTACAACTGGTTTAAGGAAGGTAGTGATCAGCATTATAGTCAGATAATATACACAAGTCACATACACCACCTATGGTGTGTATGTGTATGTATATATGCATGCATGCATAGGGACTTTTGAATCATACTGCATAAACACATCTATTTCCAACACAAAAGGAATCTTGCAAAATACTCAGTTACATGTGAATGTTGCAAGGATGTAAAAGGATAATTCTTTTTATCACCACAGCTGGCCAATCGGAAAGCCAGTGCTCCCCAACACAGCTTGCATCAGCCATATTTCCAATTGTACTACTGTGTTAAATCATCAAATGTGCCACGCATCCATTTGATTATGCAAAATTTTAGAAGAGTGGTGCATGTTGTATTTGAATAAACATGGCATTTAATTATCTAACAAAGGGCAGAATGTACTGTATTTGTGAATCCACGAGAATTTTATAATATATGGGACTTGAGAAAGTATGTTACACATGTATGGGTGCATAGACCATTATGGCAGAGCTGTGAAGTGACACCCAAATAGTTATGGTAATAATTACATTCCAGGAAACATTAAATAAATAGATTTCTCTCTCTGAACTTTTGAATGAGTACTATAGTCTTGCTGTTTCTTGTAGCAAAGCTCTTGTTTTTACAGATTGTATGAGCTGGGTTTGCAGCCACAGCTTGCAAATTTATATCCACCAATACAGTACCCAGTGAGCAGGGGGACACCAATGATCTCACCACTGGTACGGTGGGAGCATTCCGAGGATTGGTATGTCACATCGTATAGGATGCAGGTACTTGTGTTTGTCAGTTACCAATAAACTCAGGATTTTTTAGTAATAATTAAACTCTGTGAAATGGGAGTGGCTGATATCACATGGTAAGTGAATTGTTATACTTATTAAATAAGTATAACAATTCATACTTTACTGCCTGTTGTGAATGTAATTTACATTCACAACAGGCAGTAAAGTATGAATCTTATTATCACCATATTATATGTGATAGGTTTTTGAAGATACAGAAGTCAGAAGCTCCTATTGGCTTTCCTCTGTTCATGTTCTGTACATATGTACTTCTAAACTTAATGTCATAACATTTTTCTAACATTTTGTACAGTTAATTGTTACTAGAGCATGAGTCTAGCATTATAATTTCAAACAACATTTATCTATTTGTTGGGATTTACAAAAGTTAAAATTATGATTTTAGAATGGAGTCAGTTCTCTTAATTCACATTTTTATTACGCAGTTTGCATGTATAATACAATCAAAGTCTTGACATGCAATCAAAGTCTGTTTTTATAATTTGTGTCCATTTTGGGTACAAGGCTGCTTCCCAAAGAAGTGTTTCATAACAAAGGACTTTTTGAGAATGCAACTATCATGTTATAGCAGAAATGACTATTAATGTGGAAAATATGACCAGATTCTGAATGGGTTGACACAAGAGTAATACATTTGACTCACATTGTAGAGGTATTAATTTCAAATCTCAAATGGTGACCAGAGATTTTTGATGGAAATTATTGCTTTCCCCAACATTCCTACCAATCCTTCATTCCTAATAATTCTGCAGTCTACAGTATCTTGTTTGATGTTACATAACTTCAGCAGTTTATACATCTTCATGAAATAACAAAATGGTTATCTATTAAAGAGATTAATTTTTATTTCACATCCAAAATGTTCATATTTATATACTGTTTTTTTCAGAATCATGTTATCAAGTAAAATGAGCACTTCTGTGTTCAAAAGAAATAGATTGGCTCCAAACATCATTAAGCTTCATGTTGTGTATGGTTGTCATTGCAGGAGAAAGTGAAGTCTGGTGAACGATCTGTGATGGTTACTTTAGATGATGAAGAGATGGATTTCTTGTCTGGGCATGTGATTGATGGGAGAAACCTCTTCCCTGCCATGGGCTACCTTGTGAGTTTTACATCATTATTAGAATGTGAATTATGACTTAAATACTTTGTTCATTTTCTTGCTTGAGCATTTTATTGTTATTCATCTTTGTCAGTAAATTTCTGTTGTTACTGCCATCATTAAGTCTGTCAGATATTCAGTTTACATGTTCACAACATTTTTCTGTAAGATGTATTTTAATGTTATTCCCCACGTGCGTTACTCGTCCTGTTGTCTATTCTTCATTTAATCATTATAACAGTACTGTGTAAAGAGTGCAAATTCTGTAACTCTTCATTATTTATTCCTCATTCTCCTTTTAATTCCAGCTGTTGTCTTCATTACTGACCAGTGAATTATATTTAGTAGAGTTCTTTGTGAGAAGCTTGTAGTTACTCAGGTTGCCATCACATTCTCCACTTTTTATAGAACCCGAAGGTTAATTGCTGTTCTAAGAAGAGCTTGCCACAGTTCTCTATCCTGGAGCTAGATGAATCCAGTTCACATTCTCCTATCCTGTTTTCTTAAGATCTATTTTAATATTGCTTAACTTGCATGTAAGTTATACAAGTAAGGTCAAGAGCTATTCCTAGATTAATTGTTTCTGCTTTCTGTTCTTCAGACTCTTGTCTGGGAGTCGGTTGCACAAATGGTTGGACAGTTACATACAGAAGTACCTGTTGTGTTTAAGAATGTGCAGTTTCTCAGAGCTACCAACATACCCAAAGAAGGTATGTACATTAGTTTTGCATTCACATGTATCTATTATTTAAGGAACTACAGAAAGTAATCTGTGGAGCAGTTCCTGTTATGCAGACTGCCTTTTGGTGGTGGGAAATGTGTGGAGCCTAAACTTCCAAAATATATACAAAATATGCTGTGACTGATACATATTTAAGTGAAGCTGTCACTGCTACTTAATATTCAGTTATGAAGCATTTATGGTTACTGCTATAAGTAGTATAATGTTTTACCTTTAATACCAGGTAGTTGAACATTACAATCCAAAATGTTAGATATGTTGGATACAGTGAATCAATCTAATTGATACCATTTTTATTGTCAGGTTATTAATCCTCTCACTGTAAGTGAGAACATATTAATCATTTAAAGTCTGGTGGTAACTATATACCACTAGCTTTAACATTCAATAACACTGAATTTTGCCCACATTGTGTGTTTATGAGTTTCATATGATTCTCGTATTAAACAGTTATTGTTTTCCTAACGGCATTTGCCAACTGATCTTTGTAATGACGAAGTATTATGTTTTCTTTTTGGTAGGGACTGAATTCTTAAATGTCATGTAGACAAGCTTTAGCTTCAAAGGTGTAATGCACTTCACATTATCAAGGAATCCAGTCATACATTAGAATTATAGCAAATGATTGTTGCTAGACTTTATCTGGAAGCAGCTCATTCCAGTTTACATTATTATAACCTAACTTTTTCTTTATAATTCAAACTAATATTACATTCCCATGTACATTTCTAGTCATCCAATCAAAAAATGTGTTTGTCTGTATTGCTTGTTTTCCAGTGCTTGCTATAATGCATATATTTGTGTTAATTACATAGCAGTACCAGGATTACAGTATTTCAATGTGTGTCAAAATGTTATATTCTCCATTTCTCAGCTATTTTCTCTTATACTTTAAAATTATCTTTTGTAATTTCATTATTAAAGCTTTTGTATTTAAAAGAAAAAAAAACAGGTTTTGCAAAAAAAAAAAAAACAGTAGGAAAGAATTACAATATTGTATATTTTGAACTTCAATTTTTGTTATTTGAAAACTATATGGGAAGATAAAAGTACAGAAGTTAAAAATTAACAAGAATTTCTTGAATTTTTTCTTTCTATAAATTGTTTAATTAACAAGATGTTTCCAGAAGTTGTAACAACATTTTGCCCCTGGAATTTAGTTATGAAACAAACTATATTTTTAATTTTCTACACTTATTTTACACAGATTTGTTGTGCCTTTCCTTAGATATTTATTCACTTTCTTTTATGATAATGTTGCTTTTAATAATGAATGAATTAATAGAACTGACATTTACATGTTCTTTATAAGAGATGCTAGATTTCCTCCTGGCTTCGTGATTCTGATAGAATGCTATAGGACAAATTAAGCAATGCAAAATATCTTACATGCATTTCCATGAGTTGTACTTGTCAGAATGTAATGTACAATTGCGTTATGGGACATGGAGCCTAATATAGTTTTATGCAGACAGTTTAACATTGTGTGTCTGCAGGAAGCATCGAGTTTGTTGTTATGGTACAGAAGGGGAGTGGGAAGTTTGAGGTGGCTGAGGGTGGTGTGGCCATTGTTAGTGGTTCAGTGCAGCTACCTCAGAACATCTCTCGTGAAATGGTGTCTCTAGAGCCTCCTGAGCCACTGCATGATGATGACCTGCTTGAACTCACATCACGAGACATCTACAAGGAACTGCGTCTCCGTGGCTACAACTACCAGGGTCTCTTCCGTGGCCTTATCTCAGCAGATAATCATGGTAGGTGTCAGTAATCTGTTTTTAAACCTAATTTTTGTGGTTTTATCATTTCTGATTGCAGTAAATCATCAGTTTAACAGATCTTGATTTAATGAATTTTGGATTTAACATACACTGTCTGGTATTACCATATTGCTTCTGTTCACTGGGCAGACATTTCCATTCTAATGGACAGAGTCCACTAAAATCAAAAATGTCCACTAACGATCATTGGATTTTGTTTGTGCTTAATTATCTTGTTATACTATAGTGTCATAGTGAACCTTATATTATTGTAGGTGTTCAGTTCATATTACTTATCAATTAATGGTGTTTCTAATGGAAATTATGGTCTAAGGATACACTACTGAAATTGTAGAAACAACTGCAAGTTAACAGACAATCAGCATTACCAGACACCTCTTCCCCTTATTAGTCTGATAAATCTAGGATTACTGGTATTAAAGATGACTTGAATTATGCATCTGTTCAAATTTGTCATAATATATAAACATTACTTTTTTGAAGTCTGATATATACTGCATCTACAAAACAAACCGAATCCCATTGAATGTGAATTATGCAAGCTTGTGATTCAATATGCACTAAATATGTGCCAGATTATGCACAAAAGCATCAGTCCAATTTGGTACAGTAAATGTCCAAAACAATTATGTTCAAAGTACACAACAGTATGTCTGAGTAAGAACAACTTGATCTACTGTAAACTGCCCAGATGGACTGTAAAATTTTGGATAGATGTCTTTGAGTTATGAGAGAGAGTTCTGATTTTCTAGTCTGTCATAGTTTTATCCATACTTATCAGATTGAATATTATCATCAGCACATATTTAAAAATATCAGTATATGAAGTAGGTGATTGGGCTGTGCATTTTTGGATAGTGTGACAGGGATTTTTTATGTTTTGCAGGTAAAACAGGAAAAATCCGCTGGAGCAAGAACTGGGTGGCGTTTATGGACAATATGCTGCAGATGCATATCCTTTCAGAAGACACGCGAGGCCTGTTTATTCCAACCTCACTTGAGAAGCTCACAATAGATACAAAAAATCATATTGCAGAAATCCAGTCACTGACTGTCGATAATGAGGAAGTTGGTGAGTGTTTGTAATCAACCTAAAATTTTGTATACAGGCACCTAATATAGTTGTAAATACTGCCCAATCTAACAATTTAAACCACCATCATGACTGTTTTCTTCGGTATTAGACATAATTGGCATTTACACATAATATAAAGTATATTTTTTCTTCTGTTTAGAGGTGTTCCTAATCATGTTCTTCCTCTGAAAGATAGTTTTGATAAATTACAGAACAGGTAGTCAGTTCTCCCAAACAGCTTCACCAACTTTGTTAGGATGTGCTAATAAACTTTACTTTGGTTTACTTTTCATTCTTTTTGTTATAATATTTTTTCTTGTAATTTAATATTTGTGATATCTTCTTCTTCCTCAAGTCATTTCTACACTAATGAGTCATGCATAGGAACCTACTAGGTCAGAATGTAAACATGTGGCATATCTCACAGCTGTTCGTCAAAATAATGTGTAATGGAGATATAACAGACACATTTAAACAAGGCTGCGTGAACTTTGACTCTTTTATGTATCTCCTAAATTAATTATTTCGTGGTGCTAATGATTTTATGCTTCCTAAAATCTTTAAGATACATTAAGTAACAGTATGGAACATGACAAATTATACTGCTTCCATAAAATATTAATATTTTTGCATATATAAGTTATATTAATACAAAATTAAAGGATCCAGACTCAAAAACAACACATTTCCATCATGTTCCCACATTTTAAAAATTGTTTGTTTCTTACATGATATATGTTAAAGAATGTACCAACTTTGCTTTGGATATAATGCAGTGGTTCCAGTACGTGTGTATAAGGAAGTGGACATCATTCAATCTGGAGGTATAGAAGTACGAGGACTTAGAGCAAGTGCCATAGGCCGGCGCAAGCCTCTGGGAATGCCTGTTCTTGAAAAATATGTGTTTGTGCCAAATGTGGAACCAGCAGAACTGGACTTGCACATAGCATTGCGAGTGTGCATGCACATTGTTTTGGAGAATCAGCTAGGCATCCATGTGAAGGCAGTAGAAGTTCCACATCATGATTTTATGCCTCTCTCACCCATACTGGCTGTCATTCTTGGAGATCTTCCTCTCATTCAGGCAAGTGCCTATCCTTTGACAACCAATTAGAATTAATTTGTCATCATATCGACTGGTTCTGTGATATTGTAGAATATATTCAGATTAAAGCACCCTGTTCCTTCTAACATAGTAAAACACAGTGAAATGTCATTTAAAATTTAGATACCCAGGAAACAACTGAGCTGATGGCACTAGTATTTTAAATGGTGGGTGAAGGCTTGAATATTTGATAACTGGGTTTATATTTGACTCGACTATATTGATTATTCATGAATGTCAGCAAACGAAAACAAATAAATTATAATTTAAACTTAGGAACTACAACTATAGCTACTTAACCTAACCTAACCTGATCTCATTTATGGTGTCTTGCCAAATAATACTACAGCAGAATATATTGACCTAATCATTTTAATGTAAAAGTGTTACCCTGCTTAAGTAAAAATGAAAGTCATAGTACAGTAGATTTCAGTTAACTAGACCATCGGTTAATCGGGTCAGCCATTTATTTGAGACATATCTTTAAGAACAAAAACAAAAAAAGTATTTTACATTCAGAAGAAAATCATTAGAATAATGGCAGGCCCTAAAATGACAGCCTCTTATAGGAAATTATTTTAGAAGTTTAATATTCTTCCACTACCCAGTGAATTCTTGCTCTCACTATTATCATTTGTAGTGGATAACATGGAAAAATTTCAAACAATATAAGAATAAAATGCAGGTACAAACTTCATGTGCCGAATTCTAACCTCAGTAAATATCAAAAAGGAGTTTACTATACTGGAATTAAGTTATTCAATAATCTTCCACCTACTATAAAAAGTTTAAACCACGATATAAAAATGTTTAAGCCAGCTTTAAAAGAGTATCTCCTATCTCACTGCTTCAACTCATAAATACATGTAAGTAACAAAGGTGATGGTTTCTCATCATAATTATTTTGCTGTAATACTGTAGTCCCAAACATCTGTAAATAGCTGTTATAACTATGTATTTATATTTGTACTAGAAACAAGTATTGTATTTGTGCTATGACCTGTTCTACATCCCTGGTTTAGGCCTATCAAGGATCTATGGAATGTAAATAAATTCTATTCTATTCAAATGTTTCATATGTGTTGATTACATAGCACCCATAGTAACTGTTATATCTCAACACTTAACAAATTCTATAAAAAAAATAGTTGACACTATTTTAATACACAGTGTCTTTGGAGACTTACATTTAAAGAATAGATAACTATTCTGTCTGTTCTTCATTTTCTTATATGACTTATTTAAAAAAAATTCCACTGCCATATTAAATACATATTTTAATACTTCATCCATGCTTTATATAAACATATCACAACTTACATAACAACATTTGGAGAAAGAGTAATTTTTTATCTTACTGTATGAGTTCATCTATAATATAGTAGAATATTTTGTGTACCACTTTGTTTTTAAGATAATGTATCCTCTGTAGAAACAATCAGTGAGCTTTTTTTCATTACAGGCGGACATAACAATATTGGCAAACAAAAGTGATCTTTTGGTGGCAGACTTAGACATGACTGGAATCAAAGTGGAAGACAGGAAGCTGATGGGAGAACAGAATTGCTTGCTTGTTATTGCCTCCAATATGTTGCTTCACGCTGAGGTACTACAGACTGCAGGCAGTGCACTGGCTGATGGCGCCTGCATCTTGTCCCGTGAAAATCCCGACACAGACAGTGTGGGCAATGACCACTTTGGGTTTGAGATTGTATTTCAGAAGACTCTTCGTGATGAAAAGCTGGTCTTGCTCAGGAAGGTGTGTGCATGTACATGTGTAAAATGTATGAATTATGAAAAATGCATGGAAGTATGCGTGTAAACATGTGTGCATGTATGTATATTTGCATGTTTGTATGTATCTGTGTGAATGTGAATGTGGAATTACATAAATGCTAATGTCTGTTTCAGTAAATTATTGAAAAGTCATACAGTTTAATGCAGAATTTTTGTTTCTTTTGAATTGTAATAACTTGTCTTTAGAAGATATCCGTCTTCTGGGTTATTGCGCTGTGTAGTCTGGTCGATGTTAACCAACGTTTCAGAGGTCATACTGCCTCCATCATCAGGGCGACTAAAATATGAAGATTTCTGTCTTCTGGTTATTGCGCTGTGTAGTCTGGTCGATGTTAACCAAGGTTGTATGAAACGTTGGTTAACATCGACCAGACTACACAGCGCAATAACCAGAAGACAGAAATCTTCATATTTTAGTCGCCCTGATGATGGAGGCAGTATGACCTCTGAAACGTTGGTTAACATCGACCAGACTACACAGCGCAATAACCCAGAAGACGGATATCTTCTAAAGACAAGTTATTACAATTCAAAAGATCTTTACTTCAGAAATATTATTCAGGTTGAAATTGTTTTGATGATCACATGAGTTTAATCCTCTTTTTCATACTTTCTTTGCATATTATTTTCCTTAGGATGTCAAGAATACAAAATTAATTTGACATAATGTGCAGATAAACTCCTTTTTATAATTTCAGATTTCTTATTTATTTAGTCACCAACATAACTTTGCATTTTATTAAATTGAAATTAGAGCTAAACCAATTCTAAAGGGTTTTGACGACGGTAGTTTACAATGAATAATTTTAAGTTTAAAACTAAACCCATAACTAGGATAGGGTGGACTCTCATGGGTTTGGTAGGTTCTGTAAAAGGCAAAGAGCTTTTTCAGGATAGCCTTATTTGAACTAGTTACTTAAATGTGAATCACACATATTAATTCCCCATTACTGGTGCTTACAATATCTCTTGTTTGAAAGATCATGAAGATTCTGCAATCATGCTAAACATAGTAGAATATGCTAGTAACCAGTTTTTAACCACTTTAAGAATTAATTAATTAATTAATTTGTATTAAATTTAATATTGGGAACTTTCACAAAATATGTCTACAAATTCCAGTTTCAGTTAAGATCAGACAAAAATAATGGGCATTTTACATGAAGATCTACATGCCTTTTTGTGTGCAAAAATGCCTGGATGGGGAATCCCTATTATTCCTTGTTTACCACTGATACTATACTCACCAAGACTACCCTGTGTACTGTTGTCACATTGATTTCTTTGGGAGTTTATGTGGGGAATCCACAGCCAGTCCCTATGCTGGCATTATTGTTCAACCAGACAAGCACCAGGCACCTTGCTCATGCAAAAGACATTGACTATGGACAATAAATTTACTGGCACCATTTGCAAAGGTCAGAGGTCCATTAAGATTGTTATGCAGTACATACATTTTCTAACTTGTTTATAATGGTGTTGCAGGGAACAGTAATGGTCAATCCAGTTGTAATCCATGTAAGTGCCCAAAACTACGATTGGTTGTCACAGATACAGGCAGTTATTGGGGGAAACTCCAAACGTCGCATCATACTCGTTGCTCAGGGCGAACCACTCAATGGCATCCTTGGTCTTGTCATGTGTATCCGCAAGGAGCCAGGAGGCGAATCCATAAGGTCAGGCTATTATATTTTGGACAGAAGTGTAGCCTCTTTCTGCTTATTTCATTATTTTAACATTTTTGCTGTTGTAATTGCTCACAGCTATAAATGTAGTATGTGACGCTGCTGAATATTTAGTGTGAAGCCCAGATTAAGATTTATAAAATGTTCTGTAGTTTTTTTGATTTTATCAGTTACTCCAGGGTAATAAATATAATACCATAGATCTTCACCCCAACTGTGAAAATTATCCCAATACTGGCCACAGTAGCATCACTCTTAGACCCTGGCCACACGACTGTACAAAGTACGTCCGTTGCAACGGACGTAAGTGAGGACACCACCCAAGCGCAGTGTGATGTGCCAGTTGCCCCAATGGAGCCGGAAGAAGCCGTTGCATTCTGTGGTCTTGCCCCTTCATAATTCTATGACGGACGTCACGATGTACGTTACAACAGATGTACTTTTTATGGTCGTGTGGCCCCAGCCTTAACAGTATTTATTCACATTTGTTTAGTCTGTTGGCATATTATTTTATAATGTCTACTTAGAAGTTCCAGTTAAAACACTTCAACATAAATGCCTCAGAATTATCACAATAGCTCCATGTAGGTATACAGCACTTGTACAATAAGTTAATTACTCCAACTTCCATTCAGTGATGTTTTAAAACTGACAAGTAGCTTCTGTCTCTCATATAAATGGATGTCTGATGACTGTCAAAGTGTGCAAATTTGCTGGTGATGATGTGTCAGTTGCAGAGATTATTTAGCATTGAAAGAGATGAGTATGGAAGAGGAACGAGTTATTTCATCACTCATATTACTTGAATATTTGCCTTTAAGGGCTGAGGAAACCCATGACAAACCTCACTCAGGATAGCCAGTTGTCAGGCAGAGACTTACATTGGGTACTTCCCAAAATTACTTGCAACCTGCCAATATTGCTCTCCATGGCCTAACTTTTCAGCAATGGATTTTCAAACACTGGAAGAAAGAAAGAAGCATGAGGAACGTTATTAAGAATTCTGAAAACTTGTTTGTGTTTGTTTTAGATGTGTTTTTATTCTGGATCCATTGGCACCAGAATTTGATCCAGACTTGCCCCTGTACCACCACCAACTGAACAAAGATCTGGTGGTTAATGTATACAGCGATGGACAGTGGGGATCATACCGGCACCTCCCACTTGACAGTTGCAGCACTGTCACTGTACCTCACGCTTTTGTAAATGTCACAACCCGAGGAGACCTCTCCAGCTTGAAGTGGTTAGAGGGAAATCTGCAGCCAGATAGGTTTGTGTCCAGTAATGAGACTGTCATTGCATATGTTCACATAAGCTTACATAAACACTGATTAGAATTGAATGAAATGCTGTCCTGTGAGCAGATACTGCCATGTGAGAAATAAATTACCTTGTCAGCAGACAGAGGCTAGGATGATCCAAAGTCATTAAGAGCTTTTATAAAAGTGAATACTTTTATTATAACTGAATGGAAGGTATGTGTGAAGCAGTTTTGTGTTTGTTACAGTGTTTCACCAAGGCCAAATGAAGAGTTGGTACATATTTACTATGCTGCTCTCAACTTCCGTGATGTGATGGCAGCAAATGGCAAACTGGCAGTAGAAGTTCTTACCAAGAATCGTCTGAAGCAGGTGAGAAGCTGCTCTTCCTTAAACCTGCATGAATGACTCTAACGTGTAATTAAAAGATAATGCCCCTGTATTCCCTTCAGCTCCATATTTTATTCTAATGAAGCCCATCTAGAGACTTTCCACCCTGATCAAGGTTTTTTCATAGGTTTAGGCAACATGTTTATCTCACATCTCTCCTAATATATTCTTCACAATCATTCTGCCACTTTTAATTTTAGAAGCAGATTCAGTGTCATCAAATAAACTAATAGCTAATTTTTATAATCTATTTTCTTTTATGATTCACTGATCTATGTAATACTAAGAGAAGGTGATGGCTGTCTTCTTGGTTCTTGTTTCAGAGGTACTTGGTGTCTCCATTGTCAGGGCAATGAACCTGATGGCCCTGATGATGGAGGCAACTGGTAGCTCTGAGATATCAGTATTCTTCTGCCAGACTGCATGGCACAACAACCCGGAAGACAGCCATATTCATACTCACTGTCATGAGAACCTGAAATCACACCTGAAAATGTTATATGAAAGCGTGAACCAGATTAATTGTCTGCCATAGTTTTAAAAATATTGGTGTATGTTAGGAAGAATTTTAACCCTTTGTGGTTCTATGTCGGACTGAGTCCGACATTTAAAAATCCGAGTTCCGGTCCTATGTCGGGCTTAGTCTGCCACATACTTTATGAATTTTTTATGTGATCTGGAGTCAAACTGAGGCTGGCAAACAGTGTCAGCCTATCATTCAAGCTTTCTTCTTTGCACTAGTTCTACCCTAGTTTTCCTGGTAAGACTTTGTGTACCTTATAATAGTGAAAGGAGGCAGGAAAGAAATGTCATCTTATTCTGACACGTGTCCAAAGAAACCAGGATTCCACACCAAGTGTTTTGCCATACATCATATAGTGAAGGAATACCAACGGGTGTGTAGATGTCATAGCTTGGTCTTGATCTTTTGAACACAGTCAGCCTGAAAGTAAGCATAGCTCTGAGAATATGAAATCCAATGCTTATACATCATATATCTGCATGCAATAAGAAATGCTTAGGCATTGCCAAAGTCATATCTACTGACGTGCTCTTGCTTCTCTACAGAATGACAGGAAGCAGAAAGGCACCACTTATTACACATCTCACTAGCGACAACGGTACAGTCCATGAAAAATATTTCACAATGGAACTGTCATCGTCTCAGAACATATTTTCATCATATTTAGCTACGTTTCTTCCGTTTTATACAAGTTATAAAAGAAAATCAGACCAGTTCATAATATTAGTTGAATTTATACAGTTTAGTGGTATTTAAATAGACCAGCAGGGGGCTGTAGTGGTATTTAAAAGGGACCGTAAAGGGTTAAAGTTTCATTCACTAGGTTATAATATATTTATTTTGTACACCTTCCTGTTTGTTTCCAGCATCTTTAATGTAGAGTCTGTAAGTATTTCTGTATTTATTTCATTGCATTTGATAAGAATTTGTTATAGGGTTTCATCTTCTTCTATGATACTGTGTGTTACAATATGGCTAAATAAGTTTTTGTTCCAAAAATACAGATTAAGTTCAACTTTCTTTCACTTGTAAATTTATGTAATGTTTTGATGGCAGGACTGTATTCAGGGTTTGGAGTACTCTGGATATAATGTGAATGGTCAGCGTGTCATGGGAATGTGTGAATTTGGATCCCTGGCCACGATGGTAATGGCAGACAAAGAATTACTATGGAATGTACCTGAACACTGGACACTGGAAGAGGCAGCTACTGTACCAGTTGTGTACGGAACGGTGAGTTAGCACAGGAATCCACAGACATATTAATATGCCGTATAGTCATCAGGTCTCAAATAGAGTCTTGACGTGTTGAGACTGGACTTAGAACTCGATTACTCTATATTCTAATTTATTTCTATATTAAAATCACATTTGTTTTTAGGTATATTTTCTTCACCAAACTTTTAGCTGCATGTGGAAGCATACTTCTAGCTTCTCACATCTGTTTTATTTTCCTTCTCAAAGTGTAGCTTTGTAAAATTTTTGAAGTACATTTTGGTTCTTTATCTTTTAAGATATCAGCATCTAACATAGTTTGTTCCTGGAATCAGACATCCCTCCAAGACTGAATGAGGAATATTGGCTTGGGGGTAAAGAAATATAATTCAGGGACACTTGTATTTAATCACTTGCTTGACAACAAAGAATAAACCTACATTAGTGTGCTGTAGTAGCATAGTTCATTTTTCAATAGTGATAGTTCCATGCATTATTATGAAGTATTTAGCATTGGGGCATTACATTAAGCCTGTGCCAGTCACTAACAGAATGTGAAATTCATTGCATGCTTTTATATATATATATATATATATTACATGTTATATAACTTCACACCTTCTCTTCCCAGTCCAGGAATCATACATCTACCTGACTTACAAATTCATGAATGTTTGGTTAAGGTGCTGAAAGCTAGGAGGGACAACAAATGTTACTAGAAGAGCATAATAGGGAGTTAAGCATTATATCAGTAACTAAAATAGTGTGGTTACAAGGCACAACCGGTGTGCTATATACTATATGAAATTGAATGATCATATGATAAATATTTTATTAATCCTTTCTTTAATCATTTTAATACATGACATCCTACCAGGTCTAATTTCTCTTGTCTGAATTTTGGAATATGTATTCAGTCAATTCAGTGGTGGACTAGAGTTTGACATTTTGGATATAAAATACTCTTTGAAGTCCACTGAGCTTCAGTCCTTTCAAATCTGTCATGGAGGTTATTTTAGAAATGTTCAATTATGCTCTAATTGTGTGTAAAATCAAACCGAGTTGAACCAGGTGTTGTTTGTCACAAATAGGCTTATTCTGCTTTGGTGATTTGTGGGCGTATGAAGAAGGGTGATTCAGTGCTGATACATGCAGGCAGTGGGGGAGTAGGACAGGCAGCTATCAACATCTGTCTGCACATGGGCTGCACAGTGTTCACAACTGTCGGGACGGAAGAAAAACGGGAATTCATTAAGAAGCAGTTCCCACAGGTATCTGGCATGTTTGATTGTAACAATAAATATGCAGAATAATTTAATAAATCCACAGATTTTAACTCTTTACAGCCATGTAACTGTATGTACCAGCTGCTTTAATAATCAGTAATGCTGCATTTTGTATTTGTGGGTATCAGTGAAAACAAAATGGAATTTCTGAAAAAGTTGCATTTGTAAATGTGTGGCAGAATTAGTGCCAGTAATGGCATAGTATGTGCCTTTTACTGTATAGTCTTTTGACCATAGTCAAATGATCAGAATTCGCTTCATTGATTACAATCATAAAACATGTTTTCAGAAATGTGAAACACAAAGTAATTGTGCATACTTGTGAATAAGCAGTGATAAATTTATGGGGAAATTTAACAAAAATTTAGTATGTAGTGAGCAAAGTGACTATGTTAAATGGATGCCTTATCACCACAGCATGATACGTCCTGAGGTTGTGGATGGAGGAAAACCCTTGAAATGTAGAGGGTAGCTGTGAATGTACTGAATACATAGTCATGGACAGCTGGCAAGTGGTGGTCTTCCAGCTTGGGGGTTGGGCAAGGGGTCAGCAATTCCTTACTACAGTATTGAGCATGCCACAAAATGTTACACAGGGCTTCAGTTTAGGGTCTGTTGTCAGCTTTTGTTAACATGATAATGAACCTTTGGGGTCCATAAAAAGTGATATATTTCTTGACCATTTGAGGTAACTATATGCCTAAGGATGACTCTGCTATATGTGTAGTATGTTAGTTATGGGAGCAATTATACATATGTAATTTTTTCATTGAAAATTAAGAGTGTTTATACTTTAAAACAGTTTTGTGCATGTTTCATAATATTTTTAATTTTTATAAAAAATATTCAGCTTGCAGACAAAAAAAGAACTTTGTGAGGGTTGATTGAAAGTATCCATGATGAGAAAATAAATAAGATATGCAAGCTTGGCTTTTATGTGAATGTATAAATTGCTCTTCTTCTTCATATATGCCACTGCATTTTTTAATGCTAGTTTAAATCTTTGCACTAAGCAGCCATGATTAAACAGATTAACATATGAATTCTTTATTTTACAAAACATATACTTCTAATGAACATGTAACTAGATTCATACATAATTTGATTTTTCAAGGCTGAACCAGAGTGTTCACTATAATGCAGAGACTATATCATTATGGTTCCTTTTCTCTCAGTTGACAGATTGCAACATTGGAAATTCTCGAGACACCTCTTTTGAGCAGCTAATAATGCTAGAGACAAATGGCAGAGGGGTTGACCTCATTCTTAACTCCCTTTCTGAGGAAAAGCTGCAGGCTTCCCTACGATGCCTTGCTGATCACGGGCGATTCCTGGAGATTGGCAAAGTTGACCTTGCCAACAACAGTTCCCTTGGTAGGTAGAAATTTCTTATCAGTATATAACAGAAAGTAACATGATTTAAATTGACTTGCCTAGTGAGTTATTTGTGAAAAAATGTAGGAACATTCGACACAAATGAATCAATAAAAAGTCATTAATGAAATACAGTATACTCCCAATTATCTGGGCTAATGGTAGGAAAAAGATATGTCATTATCAGAAAATATGGTCTTCTTATGACAAATGTTCTATGCACTTTCACCACTATCACAGTGTGTTGCAATTTCCACCAACTTAGTTTTGTTTTTATGTATGTTATGTACAATTTGTTTCCTGATCCAATAATATTTTGTGAGATTTTTGCACAGACGTATTCAGTTTTGTAGCCATTTGACACACTTAACAATTACTCTTCTCTTCTGCAGTAACTGAAGCACACTACAATATATTGGAACTGACACACATTGCAAGACACAGACTTTAAGCAGGATCAAACATAGGCTAACCTTTCCTTATTTCCTCTTCCATTCATTCCTTTTTAGCCTCCCACCTGACTGGTTGAAATATTTTTCAAACATGAGAAAAGGATGAAAATATAGTTCACACATTGCTTCATTTACAAACATGCATGTTTTTTATAAACTGACAAATCAGAAAAAAAAATCACATTGATAAAGTACAAACTGATAACCCATTAATGAATAATTGGGAGTATACTGTTGTATTTTTATAGATATGGTAAAATATATGTAATGTAATACAATTTGTATACCAACACTGGTAGCTAATATAGAATTTCCTACATGACATTAATGTCAAAATGTTAATCCCCTCTTATGATTTTGACTGGTCCAGTAACTGAAACCATTCATGAAATGAACTGGTGATCTTGACCACATGTCTTACCTATACATATATATATTTTCACTTATTTTGACCTGTTTGATCACAGTTCATGATCAACATTATATTTTATCAACTTATCTGGAACAAGATGCATAGGATACGTTTCATCATTAACAGTAAGAATGACATAGCAAAACTTCTGTGTTACAAGATCAAAGAATTGGTTACTGCTGGTATTAATTTGTTTTAGTGAGGTCAGTAGTGATTGATTGAATTTTAATTATTATTAATCTGTGGATGCACATGTTTTATTCATTTTATGGGTTCTGCTGTATTGGTATGAAGTTTAAGAACTTTTACCAAACCTTAATTATTTGTTATAATGAACTTCTTCACATGTCCATAGCTGTTTTCCATATTTAGTGACATTGTTCTCTCTATATCTCAACACACAGGCATGGAAATATTCCTGAAGGAAACAAGTTTTCATGGCATCATGCTGGACAGTTTGTTTAGCGGGAGTTTTGAAAGAAAGAAGATTCTGATTGATTTAGTTAATGAAGGCATTAAGTCAGGGGCTGTACAACCATTAACCAGGACTATTTTTGCTGAGGATGAAGTAGAACAAGCATTTAGGTATAGTTGTCTGTTTCTGAATGAGGTGCAGGGTTATGATACTTCTGTTTCTGTGTAAGATTTGAGGTTTTCACAGCGGTGAGTATGAAGATTTCTCTTTCTAGAAGTTTTCACGCAAGCATGTTTACTCTGACAGCACTAATTTGCTGATGACTGACTGACTTACAGATTACAGACTGACAGACTAACTAATTAACTAACTGAATGAGTGTATGATAACTAACTGACAAACTTATTTTCTGGTAATAAGAAAATAAATATTTTAAGATGGCTGTCTTCTTACACACTGCCATAAGAACCTCAGATCCTACCAACTAAATGTTCAACCCCACTAACATCAAAGCTTGCCATTTTACATTATCGTGAGCCTGTCCACAATTCTCTTTCTCACAAATTTTTTCTTCACAAAGATTTATTCTGTTATCCTTTTATTGACCTTGTAATATACTGCTTTTTGCTGGTGTAACAGTATATTTACTGTCAAATTGAAAATGTAATCATATTTGATTTTGTAAGAAGAAATTAATTCCACATGTTCATGGAGGCAACTGGAGAGTAAATTTTAATTTTGTCTTTATCTTATTATCATTTTAGTATAAACTGGTAGCCTTAATACCCTACACTTATATTCAGAATAATAACAACATCTTGGGACAAATGAAGGATATTTATATAATTGTATTGCAGATATATGGCAGCTGGAAAGCACATTGGCAAGGTGTTACTGCAAATTCAAGAAGAGAAGGACAGGAAACTAACTGTACCTTCACCAAGACTGATACAGGCATCTCCACAATTTTACTGCAACCCTGCATATACTTACATCATTGTCGGTATTGTATCCTGCTAATTTGTTCTCTTTCTAAATAAGGTGGTTATATTCTGGAGTTCAAATAATTTATAGCAAATGATTTTCATTATAAATTTTCCTGCTACTTTAATGCTTTTAAACCAAAGCTCTTATAAATAATACCTAAAAGTTCTTACCTCAAAGAAAACATGACACATCTTCATTACAATGATCAGTTGGTTAATGCTGTTCAAGGAAATAATCACTGTTTATTCCGAGGATCATATGAAACTCATACATACACTGCGATCATAATGCAGAGTTGCAGACTGTTTAAAGCAGGTGGTTCAAATAGTTACCACTGGACTATAAAGGGTTAATATCTCATTGTAGTTAAAGTTTATTTAAGTTTTCTATTGATTTGTTTACTTTTTTAACAGTTGCAAAGAACCACTGCTGGTGAGGCAGTGAATTTAACTGTAATTTTAAACTTAAAAAATAAAGATTTACCATAACTTACAGGTGGATTGGGAGGCTTTGGTTTGGAACTGGCTGACTGGCTAGTATTACGAGGTGCTCGCAAATTGGTGCTGGCATCTCGCTATGGTCTGAGAACTGGCTACCAGAGTGCACGTGTGAGAATATGGCGCAGCTATGGTGTGACAGTAGTCATCTCTGTAACTGACATCACCACCAAAAATGGTGTTGCAACACTGTTGTCAGATGCAAACAGACTGGGACCTGTTGATGCCATATTCAACCTGGCTGTGGTAAGTACAGGTTTTCATAAAATTATTTTCAGTTTGTTTAAGTATGCGTTTTCACCTGCATAGGTTCTGCACCATTCAGTGAGATGAGGATTAAGAATAGCTAGTAGATAATAACTTGGAAAGTGATGTTAATGGCCTGTTTGAAGGTAGTGTTCCAGAATTTGTCTGGGGAAACTAAAGAAAACCACAAAATACCAGTCAGGATAACCAGTAGTGTGGCTGAGATTCAAACATGGTGCCTCACAAATACAAGCTTAGAATGTTATTAGAAGATGATGGTCTTTTAGGATATTGTACCATGTAGTCTTGTAGAAGTTGATTGACATTTCAGAGGTGCATACTGCCTCCATCATCAGGGAAATTATTGCTTCACAAGCTAGCTTGGTATTATTAGAGTTCAACTAGTATGAGATGAGCATGGTGTTCAGAAATCACCCTGTGGGTATCACTTTTTTCAGTACTGGTAATATTTCATCTATATTTGAGCTAATGTTCTACTAAAATAACTTACTAAGTAATAATTGTCAATGTATATCTGCTTGGTAGTAACACCATATGGACTTGTTAACATCTTCATTGCCATGAGAACCTCAAATCACATACACTGAATTACTGATGGTAACTAATAAACTACCTTACTTACTGATACTCTCCATAACTGACTGACTAACTAATTAACTATGAAAACAAATTCATTGATACAGGGGCTTCTGTAGCTAGTCAGTATGCAATTGATCAGAAGATGTCCTCCTATTATGGAGCCTGGAGGTTCAAAAACTTTAATACAAAACACTACCATTGGAACATATTCTGAGCCCATTAAACCCAGTTCAAATATCTGATGTTTCTTTAAGATCCATGTTAATATTATCATCCCTTCTATACCATGATCTCCTCACAACTTATTTATTTAAGATCTACTTCTAATCAACTTATCATAACTTTATTAATTGACTATCTAAAAGTACATAATGAGTTGTATAAATCAGAAAGATTCTGGATTTATAATAACATCCTCCACTCTCTATTTACTTGATCTCATCTACATTCATATATTTTCCTGTGCACTGTGTTTTCAAATATAGTTGATATAGGGATGAGAAGAAATGAGATGAAATTTCAGATTCCATTTGATTCAGAATGCATTATTATTTTGAGTAATATATTGGTTGAAAATTGAATTGATAACAACTTTATAAAGTTACATTCTTTATGTTTGGATTGATGAAAAAGTTTTGAGCATTTCCAGAACAGAAAGATAATGTTAGATACTGGTTGCTGCATTAATTTCAGGTACTTCAAGATGCCCTTCTGGAAAACCAAAGTGAGGCTGCTTTTGCTGCTTCTGCAGTCCCCAAGGCACATGCGACTCAGTTCCTGGATGAGCTGTCTCGCCAAATGTGCCCACAGCTTCGTCACTTTGTAGTGTTTTCCAGTGTGTCATGTGGACGTGGTAATGCAGGGCAAACCAACTATGGCATGAGCAATTCTGTCATGGAGCGCATTTGTGAGGCCAGGGTCAGGGATGGGCTACCAGGTCTCGCTGTGCAGTGGGGAGCTGTAGGGGACGTGGGGCTGGTGGCAGATATGCAGGAGGAGGACATGGATGTGGTTATAGGTGTGTTGCTATGGCTGACACAATGATTGTGTTGGTTTTTAGTCTGAACAGTTGCACCTTTCTCTGTCAGCAGAGAAAAATAGATCAGTTGGCTGTGTGTTAGCCATCTTTCTTTTAATTGTCAATGTTGGGCTTTCATACATCATCTGTTATTTCATAATATAAATATTTTTTTAACTTTAAAATTCAAATTTAATATATGACTTCCAGACATTTTTTGCACTAAATTTCCCAAAACAATAACATCAGTATTGTAGTACTGATTTTTATGAAACCATGGCAAGAATTGCTGCTTAAGTTTGTTGTGTTCTTGTCTTAAGTATAGCATCACATATGTTTCAATATAGTTTGTTTAGTTACATGGGAATGACAAGCTCTGGTTACATCCATTTTTGTTTCTTTGGTCATACTTTTAATTATGCTACTTCACGGATAACAGGAACATATTACTACGAATCATTGGAATAACCATATTTTTTATGCACAGTGTTTTTGCTGTTATAGGAGGCACACTTCCTCAGAAGATATCTTCATGTCTTATGGTACTAAACAGCTTCATGAAGCAGTCATGTCCTGTTGTGGCAAGCATGGTTGTGGCAGAGAAACGTGCTGGAAGTGGTGGATCTGGCAACATTGTTGAGTGTGTGAGCAATATCCTTGGTATGTAAAAGCACAGCAGATTTTCAAAAGTTTTAAATTGGAACATATTACTGAAGAAAATTTCATTTGTGGTTTGCTGGGTTGTGGTGCTGTTTTTGCCATGTAGATGTAGGTGTTAGATTTATCTGAAACATTGGTGACCACCTGCAAGGCTGCACAGCTTTACAACCTAGAAGACCACAATTGACATCTTCACTGCCATGAGAATCTGAAATCTCAGATGTACAAATATGATTTATTTACCATCTTCAGAGACTTTCAAATGGAATAAATAGCATTCACATGGAGATGTAATTAAATGGCATGTTTAAGCAGCACGTTCCATTATCAAATTCCAGATTTAATTTAAACTTCCATATTATACACTTGGAGTTCATGCATTTGCCATCTTGTGCCTATGTAAGAATTTGTAAGCTGTCTCTTATCATCATGTCAGTTCACTACATTATACCCCAAAATGGATTCTCTGGCTATGCATAAGACACAGTCTTCCTGTCGCTATAGACGTTCATATTTAATAATGAGTTTAAACACTGCAACAGCATTTATTCTATGAATCTCCATAATAATGATTTCATTTTGAAAGATTTAATTCCATGGTTTATCATCACTGTGTAATTTATAGTCTACATCTTCTGTTTTTAAAATGTTGATCTATTATTAATTTATTGTTTTCTTCCCCCATTTCTTTCTTACCCTTTAAAATCACATATTCCATGGTATCCATGGAAACACTTTCTTAATTCTGTAATAGGTTAACAGAATTAGAGATTCCTGTTATTTTCTTCCTTGCATTGATACTACTAGCTGAAATACTTACTGGCAGTCAGAGTGAAACACCTATATTAAATTATGTAATTCCCATATTTCCTTGATTTTAAGATGACATCGATTGTAGGATTGTTGATTTAGTAGTAGGTTTCCAGAAATTAGACTCTATATCAATTCTTAAACACCATCAAACATAAGAACTTGAATTTAACCTATGGTTTCCTTCCTTAACAAATTGGCATTGGAAGGTATTTTAACCTTTATTGGCCATGCATCACGAATTATGTGCAGTCCATCTGACTATACATCATGCTAGCATACTGATAACCTGTTAACCCCAAAGTTAAAGTCTGGCCAACAGCCATGTAGTACAAGGGTTTAAAATCCCTTATTCCCATATGATAAAAGTGAAATGGCCAGAAGGAAGAGACTGCCTACTAGAAATGTTGGTAAGTCTCATAGGGTACCTCTGTGGCTCTGAATTAGGCCTGATAGTAGTACACAAGATGGTAGTCACCATCTTGATGATAGGGAAGATAAGAAAGGTTTGATTGTGCAGGTATCCGTGATCTGAAGACTGTGAGTCTACACTCCACATTGGCAGAACTGGGAATGGACTCCATGATGGCTGTCGAGATCAAACAATCCCTTGAGCGGGAATTTGAGGTGTTCCTCACAGCAAAGGAGATTCGAAGTCTGACATTTGCATACCTTCAAGAGCTATCTGCTGCCAAGCAAGTGTCTGAGAGCACATCAGAACAACCATCAGAAGGTACAGTCATAGGAAAGGAAAGCTGCACTCTTCATTTCTTGCCCATTTTCATCACTTTTTCTTTATTCTAGCCCATTTCACACAGACTAACCATTTCCACAGTACATGGTCTTCCTAGATGAATTCATAGTTATTCAAGTGTTCAAAAAATTTTACATTTTCATTCATCCTGAAGGCTGTGATCGCCAAGGTTACAAAAACTGGTCATATCAAGTTTTCCATAATTGTACATAACTAAAAATAACTGTAGGGTGCAGCAGATGGCAAGAAAGTTTACAAATCAAAGTGTTAATAATTTATTTTTGCAATATTTCAATTCCAGTTCAATTTTCTATTAATGAAGTACAACTTCAAGGACTGGAGTTACTTCTGCGTGTAATAGGAGATGAGGTGACTGCAGCACAGCCTGTCTTGCGCCTGCCATCAGAAACTGGTGTTGGGAAAGATGTAGAAGATGCGACAAAGGCTGGACCAATACTTTTCATGTTACCTGGTGTGGAAGGCATGGGGAGCATTCTGGAACCTCTTGCCAAGAACCTCAAGTACCAAGCAATGTGCCTACAGCTTGGCTACAGCAATGTGGGTCACACTGCTCAGGACATAGCACAGGCCTTGCTACCGGTACAGCAGATGTCTTTCTTCTATTTTATTCACTTCTGATCCCATTATGAATATAATTCATTGGCAAATTGAAAGTTATGCTTCTAGTCAAAAAATTCCCTGGTGTTCTGGAACCCAAAATGCTTCATAATTTTCACTTTTCCCCCAGATATTTCATCTCTCTTAGATCTATGAATATTTTCCTCAGTGTTTAAACGAATAAAAATATTTACTGTACCAAAATTTCCAAAAGGAGTCTCGATTGTTTACCACTAACATATTTGTGTGAGTTTTAAGGGATGCATCCTGTAGTGTGTTCAATGCTTAGGTTGACAGTCTGTCTACACAACAATTTGTGATTATAGTTTCAATGTTTATTAAGAATCCACTACATGTTTCGACCTTAATTGGTCATCCTCAGGTGGTTCTATTTCTTTAAGTGTTTGGAACTGATAGATATTACTGCTAATTTCTATACATATTTTCTGTTGCTGACTTCACCTCTTAATAGACTGCTTCTTGAGCAACTTACCTATTTTAGTAGAGTGGACTATGTGTAACAGATGCAGTTACCAGTAGAAAGTTCTAGTTGAACTGAAGGGGTTGGTCTAAGTTGATGGTTAGATCTGGGTGGTTGGGGGGAGGAGCAGTCTTTAGGTATTATTGGAGTTCATCAGAATTTCAAAAATGGGTTTGTTGCTATCTAGGTTTGTTTAATTTAAATGAACACCTTTTTTAACTCTATTGTATATGTGGAATTTTTCTAGTGTGCTCATGTAACTGCCTTCTTTGGCCTCTGAGAATTTTCATTGTATCTTCCAAGATTCCATATGAATGTCCATTTTATAGAATATGTTGGGAAAATCCTATGTTAGGTTTATTAGCTTTTATATCCCCCCATATGTTACTTGAACATAGTTTTGAAATTTCTGCCTGTTTATCCTATATAATGTTTATGGCAGTCGTGGCAAATTCGCTAGTAAATTTCACTTTTGCTATATTTGCCTGTTGTTTCAAGTGTCTATATATAATATTGGACATTATGAAACTTGCATTGATTCCTGTATTTTTAAAGAGGTTTTTGTTTTTTCTGGCCTGCTGTCCCATGTAAGTGTAGTTCATTTTTTAGGTCTGTATATTTTAGGTGACTGTCAGTATCTTTCTGAGAAATAAATATAGTTGGTGTGTTAGAATCTTTCCTGTATTTTAGAGATATTTCTAAGCACTTCCAGATTTATATTTATTTAGGGAGTATGTTTTCATGTATTCTGAACTACAGTTCTTCCCTCAGAGTGAGAAATTAAGATACCTATTTCATGTACCATAAAATATATCAGTGCTTTTACACTGTATTCAGAACCACACTGTCTGAGGCTCACTATCTTAACCCCTGCATGAAGGTTCTGTAATTTTGCTTGGTCTGCTGCACATATATTTATCTTGGTTTCTTTTCTAACCTTCCCTTTTTTTTTATTAATTCCATTACATGGTGTCATATTTCGTTATATTGTAACTGTAGTCTTTGAACATTCTTCCAATTTCTTCTCTTACACTAAATAAAATCTCTTACAGACAAAATATATTTATAATTCTGTTAACTTTTCATAATTTATTTGGTAGTCGAATGGGATATGTAGCGAGTATGAGGATGGCTGTCTTCTGGCTGCCTCCATCATCAAGGCCCTGATGATGGAGGCAGCAAGGACCTCTGAAACGTTGGTAAACTTCTACCAGACTACACGGCAATACATCCGAGAAGACAGCCATCTTCAAATGGGATATAGCTGCTGTCTTTGTGATGAACCACTCTTCGCTTGATACAAATCACCTTTCTTGTGGCATACTCTGTTTAAAATGATGAAGCTTTTGCAACAATCTCCACAGAATACACCTTTCTAATCTTGTTTCCTTTGTATTTATATATTACCATATCAAAAATGTTTCACATGAAAGTTATAGGTCCAGATCTTAATAAGCTTCTTATTTTATAGCATGCATCATTTTTTTGTATCATGAGACATTGCTGAGAAAATAAATTTATGTTTGATTTCAGATACACATAAAGTAGGGATTGTTAATTAGACTTTTACAAACCAAAATTAAATTTTCCTGACAAACTTATAGTGTGGACCCCTGATACCAAATTTAATCAAAATTCCATTTGGTAATTCAAAAAATGAAATATATGGTCAGAAACCTTCTGCTTTATTTATTTCATGCCAAGAGTACATTTGCATCTTGAGCATCACATCATCACTTCGATTGTTTATAATATCATTGAATTATATTTTTGCAGCACATACGCAGCCGACTGGCTCCAGGTGCATCATTCAATATTCTGGGATATTCATTTGGTGGCATTCTAGCTATGGAACTTGCATTAGAACTGGAGGCAGAGGGTCGGGAAGGACACGTGTATCTGGTGGACAGCTCACCCGACTTCTTGAAGTCTGTCCAGGAGCGCTCCATTGGTAACGATGAGAATCAGATCGAGATCAAACTGATATGCGTAATGTTCAATCTCATGGCACCACATGTAGCCACACCAGATGGAGTCAGTCAGGTAGACAGCATACATTACCCTTGCATGTTATAACTTTCCAGGCCTACGTAATCAGGAATACGTACACATCTTAAAGGAGTGGTTCCTTGAGCAATACAAATATAAAGATGGCATACAAATGTTAAATTAATTCTCTTGAAGATGGTTATCTTATGGGGTGTAGTGCCATGTAGTCTGGTGGAAAATTTCTGATGTTTCAGAGGTATTTGCTGCCTCCATCACAGTGATCTGAAATGTTGGTAAACTTCTATCAGACTACACAATGTTACAACATAGAAGATAGTCAGTCATCTTCATACTTGCTGCCATGAGAACTTTAAATCCTACCTAATTTTCTCTTGTTTCTTCTTATTCATCTCTTCTCCTCTTCCTCCTCATGCCCCTCTAGATAGTAATACATTACTGTCAGGTGGCAGAAATTAATGCCACAACAGTACTAACACAAAGAACTGCACATTTTTGTAATGCAGGACCTCCCCCTACTTCCAAGTTTATACTGCCACTCCCTCATACGTTGTCCCTCGTGTGTCTGCATAGTCAGGGGCGTAGTTAACCACAAGGACAACTTCGGGATTCTTATGCCTGAATCTAATGAAAATATTCTCTTGACCAATTCAAATACACATTTAGGGTCTGAAAAGTTTAGTATTAGTTCAAATATAAACTGCTTCACTCACTTATTTCAGAAAGACAAGCATGGAGAAGTCCAAGTGTATTTATTGTGATTTTGCATACATCATCGGTTTTGATGTTGATTTATTGCAACTACAAATCTGGTTTTGCAATGGTAATCACACTACATAAGTCAGTTAAATAATCATCACATCAAAGTAATTTAGACCAGTTTAATAATAATTTCTTAAGTACACATGTGTTTTATACATACAGATGTGCATCGAATTAAATTTAATGAAATATGTAATATTTTAATAATTTTACTGAAGGAACATAAATAGAATTTGAGGGGTGTGAATCATATGTTGTTTTTTAAAAAGAATCTATAGTTGGTTGGATTCTAATCTTCTTCATTTCAGTGAGGACTTCCTTATAGCAGTAAAAATAACCTTCTACATTTCTAATAATTTTAAC